TGGAATGTAATCCATGGTTCCTGCGACCTACTCAGTCTGGATTGGTCAAAGGACGAGGATTCAAACTTACTTGCGTGGGGCCACTTTCAATAGCAAGAGGGCTGCCCAAAGGCTGCCAGCTTCACTCACTGCGCCACCGTCCTGGCTAGCAAGTTAACAAGGCAAACCTCGGGCACCCTGAATCCAAATCCAGGAAGCTGGAGGAATACGATGCCTTCCACGGTGAGGAGGAGTTTGGGGATGAGCAGAAGGTGGACAGTTGGGAACTCTCCAGAGACAATGAGCAGTAGCAATCGCGCTGCAGTAGCAAAAGGAAACATCAGGACTTTTGAGCTTCTGTGCAGCACTAGGTTGAATACTGCAAGTAATGTACAAAATCGTGATGTGCAGCGTTGGAATGTGAGGGAGAAAGCAGCTTAAGGTCCTGAACTGTCACAAGCCAGCAGGTGTGAGGGAGCTTAAAATCAATGACATGTGTTGTCAGGATTGATCCTGGTGGTTACTCCTTTTCAAGCCCTCCTGGACAAAACCCAATAAGACCTACATCAAGCCCTCCTGTCGAGTCTCACTCGCAGGTTCTTCAAGGCGAAGGCTTCCCCATTCCACTGAGCCTTGGCAGGGCTTTATACAGGGAGTGGTTATTAAGGGGGATACTGGTAGTCTAGACTATAGCTCATATGAGCTGTAGTCTAAACTCCTTAAAGGGGGATATATAGGGGATTATACAGGGGACTACTATAGAGGATATTAAGGGTAATACTAGGAGTTTAGACTATAGCTCATATGAAAATTTCTGCCTGCAGACTTTGACTCGTCCATCCTACAGAGGATATGCTGGAGTTGCTTTTGCCGCAAACTGTGTATTCACATGTCGTGTGTGTTTGCGTGACAACCTATTAGCATTCTGGGGCTTGTGGCGCTGGTGACTTACTTTGTGGCCTTGATTCTATCATCTGAGGAACTTCGAAGCTAATCTGGAGAATCCGCGGCTTCAGCAGCTGGGATTTAGTGTGCCAGGGCCAGGGTCTTTCACGGTTTCTCTTTGGCAGCCCTTTCTATTCGTATTCGTTCGTAGCCAAGGTGTTGGATCAGCTTTAAAAAGTGCAGATCTCCCAAATCCCTAGCCTCGTGTTGCATGCGTTTTGTATGTACAGCGTGTCGATGGCTTGTGGTCGGTTCCGTCTTGAGGAATGTCCTGCAATGTCCTGCATGTTTCGGCTTTCTGGGCATTTGGAAGGCAGCTGGGGAACTTGCGGAAAGGCAAGACCTTTCAGTGCTGCAGGAATCTGCAGGATTCCAAGCTTATATACTCGTAGCACTACGTTATGTGACGCACATATGTGCAGTCCTGTTTTGCAGAATGCAAAAGTGAAGAGATAGGCTGACACATATTATGTCAGGTTGTCAACGTTATGGCTTTGTCTGTTTCAGGCACCCTATTTTGTTAGGGACCACATAACACGGGGGCCCAACTCCATTGTTGCGATAATTGTCCTTTTCCTTAAAGAAACCCCTAGATGATCCCCCTTATAATCCCAGTGTAAACCCTATACCCTATCCAACGCCTCTATGAGCCCTTCAGAACCCCCCTAAATAGTCCCCACATGACCACCATGTTCCTCAGATAGCCCTAAAGCTCCTCTAGAGCCGAATCTCGTTATAATCCATGTACAATCTCTCTAGTCCCCACAGACCTTCTACTATAGAATCTCTAGAACTCCGTATAGTTTCCATTTCATTTTACATTATCCCTGTATAACCCCCAATATAGCCCTAAGATTCTCCCAATCCCATGCAGTACCCTAAACCCTAAATCCTAAACCCTAAAACCTAAACCCTAAATCCTAAACCCTAAATCCTAAACCCTAAATCCTAAACCCTAAATTCTAAACCCTTCCACCCACCATCCCAGGAGGAGACGGCTCCTGGCCACCCTAGAGCTACATGACGTGTGGAAGGACCGCGGTGGGCTTTCTCCAAAAAAAATACATACTGCAGGAACATAGAAATGTGTAAATGCATATGTACTAAACTCCTTAAACGGGGGATCAAAAAAGGGGATTATATAGGGGACTATATAGGGGTCATGAAGGGGGATACTGGGAGTTTAGACTTTAGCTCATCTAGATATATGTATATATATATATATGGGTCTATATGCTCATAGAGACATTCGCATTGCGAGTTTTTGCAGGGTATGTGGATACCCATTTTTGGCAACCGCGTCGTCGCTTTTCAGGATCAGGAGGAACAAAGAAGACAAGTCCTCCGCAGCGCACTCCCAGAGGAGGCTTTGCCACAGCAGTTGCAACCTACTGCTGCGGATGCTCACAGGTACTGGCCGAGCTTCTAGGGAGGATTCTTTCTATGTACACATATGAGTGTATACAAAAGTACACTACTTGTAGTTGTTGTAGGTTTCTTGTGCAAGGACAAGATGAAAACCACATGCCAAATTGCGTAAGTTTGGTTCAGACTTCAAGCCAACTTGGAGAGGTAGGAGGGAGTAAAGGCGTGTGATTTGAAAGCATCATGAGGTTCGATGCCATCGGTTTCAGAGGAGCAGAGGCTTAGGGCACAATTGACGGTCTGATTTCGATATATCCTCTTCTATCCGCTGCGCATGCTGCCAGTGAAGGCATACGATCCCTTCAGCGACGAACCCGAAGTAGCTTTGGTGCTGGCAACCTGGGATGCAAGTAGCAGATAAGATGAAGCGCAACTTCAGGCAGCGGTATGGGCAAGCGGCTGACGCAGGGGGCGTGTGCGCGTTTTCAGCGTAAGTTCAGTTTTCAGCAGAGCAGCAGTTGCATTACAATCCACGCTTTGCAACGTGCAACGCAGGTTGTTCTAGGGCCTTCAAAGAAGTTTGCAAGCTATGGCATTGGCCGCTTGCGTGGCATTCTCGACACTCATGGATACATGGGTAGGGTTTTATGATGCTGGCACCGTCCCGCACTCTGAAGAGGCGGCAGCCACAGAACCAAAAAGAAACACATTTCCGGTGGAAAGACTGGAGGAAGACAATGCGATAAGACGGCGAGGTCCGCAGCCGGTTTTCTTGTCCTCTAATTCCCATGAACAAGCAGGCCTACCTGCCAACATCAAGCACGGATTCCGCACAAGGAGTCCACGGTGTCTCCTACACTTGCACCACGTCCTGCAGGCACTGTAGTGGGAACATCAACCAAGCCTTCTGTGTTACAGATTGCTAAAGGGAATCGGCCCGTCGTCAGTCAGTAGATATGCTTACACAGTGGCTGCAGGATTGAAAAGTTCAGGGCTGATATCAGGTAGAATAGCCAGCCATGACCAGCAGGGACATGCCCTGGCCTCCACATACACATCTGTACCCCTGAGGCAGTGCCTTATGCCTGTTCAAGGTTCTATAGCTTCTAATGCCGAAGATGGGCCGATTCAGTATACAGATTTTATTGCCGTTGTTCCTTTTTTGGGATGGGCACGCAGGATGCCGGGGACCTCATGTTTCAAATGCGTTGCCTTTCTTCAAGACTGGCACAAATACAGACCTGGTTCTTGTTGCTGACTACTGGTATGCTGCCTCCGGCTGACGATTGGGAACCTCAGGTCTGCTTAACAAGGTATGAAATAAAAGGTTCAAGGACACTCGAGCATGTTTAATGCTTGCACGTAAGCTCTTGGCATGTATAGCTACTTGCGTGATCGGTCTTTCTCTTCTTCTTTGCTGGCCTTGCTGTCATCCTAGGTTATCATCAACCCTCCGCACCCTTGATTTCAAGCATTGCAGGCCCTGTGAAAGTCGAGCCCAGTGAGCCGGATGCTAAGCCCAAGGACGCAGCTCCACAGGCGCGGTCTCACGAGATCACGATGTTTAGGTCGAGGTTGTGGCTACAACAGGAAGAAGATTGTAGCAGCGTGGTGGTCATCATGCAAATGATCTGGAGGAGGACCACGGTGATAATAATGGCGATCATAGTGACGAAGCAGGATGTGTTGTTGGTGATAGCAGTAGCCGCAGCTGTAGCACTGGTATGTTGGTAGCACTGGCCAAAATGAATAGCATTAGCAGGAGCAGCAATTCTATGACTGGCCGGTGGTGGAAACTACCCACGAAAAGACATAAACAAGCACACCAGAATCAACCACCCAATTCCAGAATAGGTTTCGCTGTGGCAGTTAAGCCAATGCAGGCAGCAGGCAACAAGTTGCGCAGCTTCGCGTATGATTGGATCAAGGGTGTAGAGGCATCTTTTGGTTTCTGCGTTCTGGCAAGATTCACTGCTGTGACTGTCAATGTGCGATCCCCACTCAGTCGTTTTTGGTACGCACGTCGTGAACTCAGTTCGCCTGACATTCAGCTGCCACGCTTACCAGGAATGATAGGCTTCCCTTTAGGGCCGCAGGTAATCTAAGTTATTCTACTGCACTGCACTCGAGCTGCGATATCTGCCAGGAACCGGCTGGGACTGCAGAGCCCACGCCCGCTGAGGATGCAGGCGAATCAAACATACTCATAGGAATTATAGTCATAATAGGGGCCTGGTCTTGAAGCCTCAGATCTGATATCATTCGACTTAAGGGCTGTGGGCTCAGAGGGCGTGCATTGACGGAGAAGAGGTTGCCTGCCCCTGAAAACCCTGCAGTGCAGGCCCTGGAGGCTAGAAATGCATTTTTGGGGGTGGTTGTTCGGTCTGGCAGGAAGTTTTGCTTCTTGCCTGGAGGGTTTACAGTGCAGTAGATTTCTCAGGGGATGATGCTCAGTGGCCCTCTCGGTAAGTAAAGTAATGGCCAGTACTCGGGGAAGAGTGTGTCACCCTTCTGATGCTTCCAAGCTAGTCAATGGCAGCAGCGCTGTAGTCGCAGCTGATGTGGGCTTGGGCGGCTTTCGTAACCCTACCCCACCTGACACTTGGTTTGTCTGGTTGGAGGCCTTGCGAAGAAGCTTTGATCAGTTGACATGTACCCTCAAGTGGTGAAGCCCCTTCAATCATGCGCGAAACCATGCATACCACAGTCAGGAGCTACGACAGCCCCAGACGCAGCGCAAGAGTTGCAGACGGGCGCAGACGCGGCACATGTTTGTCCCCAGGACTGGGCCGCGAGGATCAGCTTCATTACGATCAAAGCCTCATACAAACACATGATGAGAACTGCGACATTGTGTGCGGGCCCGTCGTGAACATTACGCTCGTCTTGTCCTTGATGGGCATGTCCTCCAAAATGATGTCCAACACCGAGCGCATGGTAGGAGATAGTACAGCTGATAGACGTCAGTACTCCTAATGACAAGAACGAAAGTGTTGTACACCTTCAAGGGTGGCAGCACGGGAAATGACCCCAACATACCAAACCTGAAGACATGCCAACTGTTGGTGGATGTTGAGAAACAAAGAGACACAATGATTGTGTCCAGCTTGCAGGCAGGATCTTCCTTGTGCTTGTTTGAGACCGGGGCTTATCAATCTCTATAGCAAAGCTCATCTCTGTAGTAATCTATAGTCCCTAGAGCCCCTAGCATTACCCTTATAACTACTAGTATTATCATTATCAATATAAATATTAATTGCTGCTATTACTATCTTGGTTTTCTTTATGGCCACGCGGCAGGAAGCGGAGGCTGCGGCGGAAACTCCTCACTCAGCTGAGGACCGAGGTGCAGCCCAGCATGGCTTGCGATTGAACCTTCCAGCGCGTGAAGCTGCAAGCCTCTATAAACATATGCAAGTGTATATATATATATATGCGCATAGAACTTATATGAGGGATGATAAAAAACCCCGTAACCAGGTTTAAGAGGGAGCCCGTCCTTAAGTCAAAACCTTGTAAAACGATAAGAGTAAAAATAAACGATAACGGCGAAACCTT